ATATTTTTTTTTTTTGCCAGTTTGTTCCATTTTCTGGTGTGTTTACTGTACTATTATAATCACTGATGTCTGTTGAGCCCATGTTAATACTTCTTTCCATGTTAATATTTTTGAAAGGGAGGTAATAATTAAAACAAAATAAGGGAGAAACTATAAAAGGTTCTGTTTAGTTACTAATAGTATTATAATTTCAACTAACAATGTTATAATTCATGTACAAAGATTTTATAATTCAATTTTTATAATATTACAATAATCTAAGAAATATTCAAGATGGATCTACAGATGACTCCCTTAACTATGAAAGTAACCCCATTTTCCCTCACCTTCTCATCTCTGACATAATAGATCCAAAATGCCCCATGTCGATCCATCTCATTTCACCAATACCAAGTATGTCACTATATATGTGCTCCATTTCTTTCTTAACAATGTCCAAATTTCCTACATCCAACCTACTCACATTCCACATTCCAGTCACTAGTGTCTGCTTACAACTTTTCCTCCTCCTTTGTGTTTCCGCATTTGAAGGCTCAGCCTCAGGTCCCGTGTCTACTAGTCTATTCCAAGTGTGCTCTATTGGACACGGGATTTTTGACGGTCAGTTATTTCAGAAGTGGATCGCCAATCCTTCTTCCTAGTCTGTCTTAATTTCAATGGTCAGATTTAGAACAATATCTGACAGGCAAACATTTTACAGAAAGGAGAGGATGATACATATTTTCTAATAATAGAAGGAGCTAATAGATTCGGTGTCACTCCCTACACTGGGCAAGTGTGTCATGAACCATCTCTTTCCTTGTTCCACCAGCATCACTTTCCACTCCCCTCCTGCCTACCCTGTTCAATTCCTCCCTCTTCCCGTCCAGACCTAGCTATGATGGCTTAGGTCTTATGCCTTCTGTGCTTCTGTAATTTCAGGCACCCCACACCTCTCATTGTGGTGGCCAGTCTCTCTTGAATTTTGAAGTTTCTAACTCCAAATTCCAGGTACTAGAATTTCACAGGCACCAAAATTTGACCCTGACTCTATTCCTCTCAAAATTCAAAGCTATCTCAGAAACAGGTTTGAGGTCTGGAACACCAATGAGTAAAGACCACATGAGCTGTGGGAAGATATCAAGAATATCATCCATGAAGAATGCAAAACAACATTGCAAAGGCAGAGAAGGAAGAAAAGACCAAAATGGATATCAGAAGAGACTTTGAATATTGCACGAAAGTGCTGAGAAGCCAAAGCAAAGGGAAGCAATCAAGAAATTAAGGAGTTGAAGTAAAGATTTCAAAAGGCAGCACAAGAAGACATAGCAAAGTATTATAATGAAATGTGCAAAGAGCTGGAGTAAGAAAATCAAAAGAGCCGAACTCACTCACTGTATTTCTGAAGCTGAAAGAATTGAAGGACAAATTCAAGCCTCGAGTTGCAATGCTTCAGGATGACATGTGCAGAATACTGAGTGAGCCAGGAAGCATTAAAAGAAGATGGAAGTAGTATACAGAAAAGGAATTGGGAGGCATAGAAGAATTTCATGAAACAACATATGAGCAAGAATCTTTGGTGAAGAAGGAAGAAGTTCAAACTGTTCTAAAATTGGTGAAAACCAAGGCCCCAGGAATCGATGGCATATCAATTGACGTATTTCAACAAACAGATGCTGCCTGAATGAGCTTACCAAGTGTGCCAAGAAATATGGAAGACAACAAAACCACCTGGCCAACTGACTGGAAGAGAGTTATATTTGTTCCCATTCCAAAGAGAGATGACCCAACATAGTGTGGAAACTATGAACACTATCACTAACATCACATGCAAGCAATAATATGATGAAAATTATCCAAAAGCGACTGGAACAACACATCAACAGAGAACTACCACATGTGCAGGCTGGATTTAGAAAAGGTTGTGGCACTAGGGATATTATAGCTAATGTTAGATGAATCTTGGCTGAAATCAGAATACCAGAGTAATGTCTCTCTGTATTTTATTGACCACACAAAGACGTTTGAATTGTCTGGATCGCAATAAGATTCCTTGGAGAGGAATGGGAATCCCAGAACACTTGGTTGTGATTATGTGAAACTTGGACCATGAGGCAGTCATCAGAACAGAGCAAGGAAATACTATATTTTAAAATCAGGAAGGATGTACCTCAGGGATGTGTCCAATCGCCATACCTTTTCAACTTATATGTGGAACAGATCATCCATGATGCTGGGCTCTATGAAGAGAAATATAGCATCAGGATTGGAGGAAGATTCATCAACAATCTGTGTTATGCAGATGAAACAACCTAGCTTGTTGAAACTGAGGAGGACCTGACACACTTGCTGAAGAGGGTCAAGAACCGTAGCCTTTAATATGGGTTGAAGCTCAACATCAAGAAACCAAAGATTCTCACCCTTGGACCAATTAGCAGCAGCATGATAGATGGTAAAGAGACTGAGATTGTTAACAGCTTTACTTTGCTTGGCTCCACAACCAACACTCTTGATAACAGCAGTCAGGAAATCAAAAGAGAAATTACACTGGAAAAGTCTCCTTTCAGAGACATCTCTAGAGAACTGAAGAGAAACAATGTCACTCTGGAGACTAAGGTGCACCTGATCCAGGTCATGGTCGTTGCAATTACGTTCTGTGCATCAGAAAACTGGATAATGACTAAGAATGATGAAAGGAGAATTTAAGGCTGTGATGCTGGAGAAGATTATTGAATATACCATGAACTGCTAGGAAAACAAACAAGTTTATCTTTGAGAGGCTGAAACCAGTCTGCTACTCGGAGGCAAAAATTCTGAAGTTCCAGCTGAGATACTCTGGGCATGTTGCAAGGAGGGACTGGTTCTTGGAGAGGGACATTATGTCTGGGAGGATGGAGAGACAGCGCAGGAGGGAAAGACCCTCGATTGCCGAGTGCAACTTCGCCGCCAGCAGCCGAAGAAGACTCAGACAAACAGGATTCGTTGCAGAAGCTTTATTGAACAAAAGAAAATGGCGAAATGGCCCCGTCTTCTTCCCCGGCACTTGCTTATATCCCTCTCGGTTCCACGCCTCCTGCTCTTACGTCTTAGAATCTCATTGGTGTTGAGGTCTTTCTAAACTAGGTCCAATGGACCAATAGCAATATTGCAGCCATAAATGGTGTTGTTTGTGCGTTAGTAAGTCAATGAGGAAGTGAGGTATCAGCGCCATCTTGTAATGGTGGCGCGCATGTGCAATGACGTCAATGATCTTAACCGGCTAGCCTGCTGCTGCGGTCGGCCTGCTGCACTCGATGAGATGGATTGACTCAGGGACTGGAGTAATGGGGATGGGTGTGCAGGAGACAGGTTGGCTTAGAATAGAGCAGGATTCAGAGTTGTACATAGGATTGCTACGAGTTGCAAGCGACTCCGCGGCACATAATACAACAACAACAACTATTACATTTAAGAAACATAAAACTATATTTATCACATTGTATTCACTTATTAGAATGAAAAAAATAATAAACATTACTTATTATTCCATATGGTTTGGGACCAGTAGAGGCCTATGAATGAGAGGAGGGTAATATCACAAATAAACCAGTCCTAGTGAGATCACTGTCTCACCTTGACCTAGGATAATCACGCCGTGCTCTAAAATGTAGACCCATAACCACTAAAAAGTGTAGAGGTGTCTATACATTATAAATGACTATATATAACAAAACTAAAGACTCAAAATAACACTGCTTAAAACTCAAGACAGAACTCTGTGCTACCCTTTGCAGACTGCAGCTCTCAGGTTCACCCTCTGCCTCCTGTTAAATGCCAATGCCTTTGGCTGCATGAAAACCTTTATGGATGAAACAACTGTCTTGAAACTCTGGATTCCCTCAATTGTCATTCCTGAATTTCAGTGTTTTTAATTTACATTTTAGTCTCTGAATACCTTCTCTTTTTCACTACTCATGAAGAACCATTTTGTTTATATTCAACCCATTTAAATATCTTCTTCTTGTTTTTCTACCTCAGTGGTGAAACCTACCCAGAGTTGAACCTCCAGCCGATTTTCAGAGGCAGTGAATCACACAGGAAATGGTTCATCCTTCTCCCGTGGAGCACCTGGTGGATTCGAACTGCATGCTTTTGGGATTGCAACTCAGCTTCTTACCACTAGACCACCAGAGCTCCTTATGTTTAAGTTTGTTGCTGTGGTTGTTGTGTACCATCAGATTGGTATTGACTCACAGCTGATCCTCGCGGGAATTTGCAGAAGCAGTTAATCACAGTGGAGGAGACTGTCCGTTTAATAATTGATAGAACGACTAAAATGAGTTTGGTTGACAATAAAATAATGAAATTACAGAGAAAATGTTGTCATTATATTTTGAAATAAATAGACAAATGAAAACTGCTAAGATGTTTTAAGATTAAATTTTTATGTTATTTCTGATAATATTTTTGTCATTTTGAATAACTATCTTAGTCGTTGTTGCTGTTATGTGCCATCAAGTTGCTTGAGATTCATAGTGAGCCTATGTAAACAGCCCTAAACCCTGCTCTATCCTGCGCCAATCGCACTGTCTCTGACACTCCCATCCCAATTACCCCAGTGACTGAATCAATTCACCTCAGAGAGGGTCTTCCCCTCCTGCGCTGTCCCTCCACCCTCCCAAGCATGATGTCCCTCTCCAAGGACCGGTTCCTCCTTACAACATGTCCAAAGTATGTTAGACGGAGCCTCAGAATTCTTGCCTCCAAGGAGTAGCCTGGTTTAACCCTCTCTAGGATGAATCTGTTTGTTTTCCTACAGTCCATGGTACCCTCAATACTCTTCTCCAGCACCACAGCTCAAAGGCATCACTTCTCCTTCTATCCTCCTTAATCATTGTCCAACTCTCTGATGCATAACAAGTGATTGCGAAGACCATGGCCTGTATCAGACACATCTTAGACTCCAGATTATTTAAAATAATAATAATACGTGTTATACAAAAAATATTAATTTTTATAACTTCTTGTTAATTCTTTTTCAGCTTCTACATGATCCGAACATCAAGATCAAACTCAAGGTTCAGGCTTTAATATACCCTGCTCTTCAGACTCTTGATATGGATTTACCTTCGTATCGAGAAAACGCATTCTCCTTTTTTCTGCCTAAATGGATAATGGTCAGGTTTTGGAGTGAATACATTACTACAGACAGGTCACTGGAAAAAGCCATGCTCTCTAAACAACACGTACCAGTAGAAGCAAGCCACTTGTTCAATTTTGTTAACTGGAGTTCCTTACTCCCTGAAAAGTTTAAGAAAAGTCACTTTTATAATAGTCCAACTGCTGGACCATCACAACTAGCTAAAAAATACCCAGGGTTCCTCGATGTGAGAGCCGCACCCTTGTTGGCAGATGACAGTAAGTTGCGTGGTTTACCCCCGACCTACGTCCTCACCTGTCAGTATGATGTCTTAAGAGATGATGGAGTCATGTATGTCACCCGCTTGAAGAATGCTGGCGTTCAGGTTACCCACAACCACGCTGATGATGGCTTCCACGGAGCACTTTATTTACCGAACTTTAAAATTGGAGAGAGACTAAAAAATCACTATATTAATTGGCTCAGTGAAAATCTATAATAAAAAGCGGAGCAATGAATTATAAGGAAATGGGGGGGGGGCGATCCAATAGTGACCTGAAACCATGGGGTAATAGGGTAATAAGTGGTACAGTCCAATGGTGGAATTTTATATAACACAATACGTGGGAATGATTGTACTAAAAATAATGTCAGTGAAGGAAAGTGTAAGGGGAAAATCTGTATAATAAAAAGAATAAGAAATATATGTGTATGTGTGTGTGTGTGTGTGACTTAACACCGGAAGTATAGAAAAATCACTAAATTGAAATTTGAATTCTTCTTGATTATCTATGACCTTTCTAATATTCATATAATCATACCAATATTAAACAGATTCCTTCCTACTTTAGCTCCTTCTGACTATTCCTTTGAGAACATACAACTTATTAATCTTTCCTCTGCTATTTATAATTATTTCTTACAACCCTTATTATTGTTGTTGTTAGATGCCATCAAGTCAAGTACGACTCAAAGCAACCCTACAAACAAAAGCAGAGTTTAAAAAATGATATATGATAGGGTATTATGGTTATCACAAGAGTCCAGAATGAAGGTTGCATGGTGGCGTGTACTCGGGGGTGGGGGAATTGTATACCTATGAAGGAATTTTACTTTTCAAAGAGAGGAGTGAACTAGGAGGGAGGGGTGGGCAGGGAGAAAAGTGTAACAACGAATGAATGGAAATCCAAAACCTCTGTAAATGTTCATTAAAATTAATAAAATAAAATTAAGTAATAATTTAAAAAGTTCTGAACCCAGTCCTGTCCTGCACCATCCTCACACTTCCTGACACACAGGAGCCCATTGTGGCAGTCACCCTGTCAATCCGCCTAGTTGAGGGTCTTCCTCTCCCTCGCCGACCCTCCACCTTTCCCAACATCACACTCCTCTCCGAGGAATAGCACCTCCTAGCAATATGTCCAAAGTATGTTAGGCGAAGCCTCATCATTCTTGCTTCCAAAGAGCACTCTTGCTGCACCATCTCCAGGACAAATCTGTTCATTTTCTTGGCCATCTCTGAATGTTCAGTGTTTTTCTTCAACACCACAGCTCAAAGGCATCGATACTTTTCCTGTCATCCTTATTCATTGTCCAGGTCTCGGATGCATAGCTAGTAATTGGAAAGACCATGGCTTGAATCAGATGCACCTTAGTCCTCAAACTGACATCACTACTCCTCAGTAATTTGGAAAGGTCCCTAACTGCAGATTTTTCCATTGCAATGCATCTCCTTAGTTCCTAACTACTGGTACCAATAATTATTTAATAATTATTAATGAAAAGTCAGTTTAATCTCTTCATACTAAAATGGTTTTGATGAATAATGAAGTCTTAAAACCAACAATTACAAAAGCTAACCCTCTTTTCTTTCTCAAAGAGATTTTCCACTTTCTGTTATAAAATGTACAGATATTGTTGGTATGCCCAAAAATATTAGCACTACCTCTGACGTATAAAATATCCTCAATTCTTTTTTCTTGCTCATACTGTTAATCGACTATCAAAAACATTGAAAAGGTAACATTAAAAAATTACATGTCAGGATATTTATAAAAGAATTTTCATACAACAAAAAGATTAAAAAGAAATAAAAACAAAAACAAAGTTTTCATAGTAACAGTATAAAATGTTGTTACGTGCCCTTGACTCATAGGCATGTAATTCATACTGTTGTTGTTTATGCCATCAAGTCACCTGTAACTCACAGTGACCCTATGAACGTTAGCCCGGAACTCTGCCCTATCCTGTGCCTTTCTCACCGACTCTGACAGATCTAAGTGTGTTTTTCTAGTCACTGAGTCAATTCATCTCCTCCTGGATCTTCCTCTCCTGCACAGTCCCTCAACTCTTCCAAGGGTGATGTCCTTCTCTGAGAATGGGTCCCTCCTAGCCACGTGCTCAAATTATGTGAAGCAGAGCTTCAAAATCCTTGTCTTCCTGGAACAGCTTGGTTTCACCCTTTCCAAGACAGACCTGTTCGTTTTCCTGGCAGTCCACAGTTTGTTCAACACTTGTCCCGCAACACAAATCAAAGGCATCAATCCTTCCTCTATCTTTCTTAGTTATTGTCCAACTTTCTGATGCATAGCAAGGAATTGTGAAGATCATGGCCACTTACATTGTTGCTCTTCAGTACTCTAGAGAGGTCTCTCTTTTTACTTCCTGGCTGCTTGTGCCAAGAGTGTTGATTGTGGAACCAAGCAAGCCGAAATTGTTAACAATCTCAATTTCTTCTCCATCTATCATGAAGCTGCCAGTTCGTCCAGTGGAATATTTGTTTCCTTGATGTTGGCCATCAATCCATACCTAAGACTACAGTTGTTGATGTTTTGAATGCAATGTCTCATATCCTCCTCAGTTTCAGCAAGAAAGGTTGTATCATCTGCATAACGGAGGTTGTTGATGAGTCTTCCTCCAACCCTGATGCCACATTCCTCCTCATGGAGTCCAGCCTCCTGAATGATTTGTTCTGCAAATAAATTTTAAAGGTATGGAGGTAGTATGCATCTCTGATGTGCATATTTCCTGATCCAGAACCATGCAGTGTTTTCCTATTCTGTTCTGACAACTTCTCACTGGTTGAAGTGTAGATTTTGCATGAGCACAATAAAGTGTTCTGAGATTCCTATTCTTCTCAAGGTTAGCCACAATTTGTTGTGGTCCACAGAGTCAAATGTCTTTGCATAGTCAATGAAACACAAATAGGCATTCCTTTGGTACTCTCTGCTTTTAGCCAAGATCCATTTAACATTGTTTATGATGTCCCTAGTGTCATGGCCTCTTCTAAACCCAGGTGTCAGTTCTCTGCTGATATACTGTTCCAGTCGTTTTTGGATAATCTTCAGCAGGACATGCTTGCATGTGATATTAGTGATATTAGGACACGTAAGAAAACTATGAAAAACAGATTAAAACTTATCCTTAATTAATAGATTAAAGTTTTGCTTTATTGGACCGATTAAACCTTGTCCTCCAAGTTTCCACCATTGACAAGTCAGACTCTATCAGTTCATCTCATTGAGTGTATTTCTTTTCCCCTGACCTTTTTAACATATATTTTTGCCTATGAATGACATTTCTTATCATCTTTTATTTGATAAGAAAAATTTCACCATTATTGCCTCCAAAGAGCTTCTAACTGCATTTCTTCTAAGACAGACTTGTTTGTACTTTGAGCAGTCCATGTTATGTTCAATATTCTTTATCAACGTCGTAACTGAAAGGCAATAATTAACTTTTTAAAGGCAGTTCTTTTCAAGGAAAATGAAAGCAATAAAAAAATTATATTTGAATGTTATAAATTTTGAGACAGGTGCCACATAAAACTAGTTGTCATGAGTTTATTTGACACATAACACAGATCATTTGCAAAAATGCACCTAAACACATTGTTGTAGTTGTTACGTGTCATCGAGTCAACTATGACTCATAGTGACCCTAGAAACAAAGGCTGTGAACCTTGCCATATCCTGAGCCAACTTCGCCATCTTTGACACAGCTGACCCCATTGTCATGGTCACTATGAAAGTCTATCTCATCTAGGGTCTTCCTCTTCTGCATTAACCATCTATTCATCCAAGAATAATGTCTTTATCCAAGGACTGGTCCCTCCTGGCAACATGCTGAAAGTTTGTGAGATGGAGCTTCAAAATCCTTTCCTTCAAGAAGCAATCTGACTTCACCTTCCCCAGGATAGACCCTTTTATTCTCTTGGCAGTCCATGATACATTCAATACTCTTTTCCAGCACCACAATTTAAAGGCATCAATTCTTCTTCTGTCATCCTTATTCATTGTCCAGTTCTCACATGCACTGCAAACAATTAAGAAGATCATGGCCTGATTCAAGTTCACCATAGTTCTTTGTTGCTCTTTCACACTTTGGTGAGGTCCTTGACTTCAGATTTTCCCAGTTCAACTGATCTTTTGATTTCCTGGCTGCTTGTGCCAAGAGTATTGATTGTGGATCCAAGCAAGATTGAATCATTAACAACCTTCAATCCTTTCTCTATCATAATACTGCCTTTTAGTCCAGTGGTGAAAATATTTGTTTTTTTGATGTTGAGATGTATTCCGTATTGAAAGCTGTAGACTTTGACCTTCTGCAGCAAGCACTTCAAATCCTTTTCAGTTTCAGTGAGCAAGATTTTGTCCTCTGCATAACACAGTTTGTTGGATGAGATTTCCTCCAATCCTGTTGCCACAATCTGCTTCATAAAGTTCTGCCTTCCAAATGATCTGTTCCTCATATAGTTTGAAAATGTTTGGAGAAAATGACATATCTCTGATGCACTCCTTTCTTGACTTTGACTCATGCTTGTGTTTCCTTGCTCTGTTCAGACAACAGTTTCTTGGTCTAAATATAGGTTTCACATGAGCACAATCAGGTATTCAGGGATTCCCATTCATTTCAAGGTTATCCACAATTTGTTGCAATCCACACAGTCAAATATCTTCACACAGTCAATAAAAACACAAAAAGGTATCCTTTTGGTGCTATCTTCAGCTGTGACACATCTGATATCAGTAAAAATATCCATAATGCCACAGTCTCTTCTGAACCCAACTTGTATTACTGACAATTCTCTGTCAATGTATTTTTTTATAATGTTTTTCAAGATTTTGCTTGTATGTGATATTAGTGATATTGTTTGATAATTTCTACATTTTGTGTATTCATTTTTGGGGGGCAGAATGGAGATAAATATGTAGCTTTTCCAGGCAGTTGGACACATAGCTGTCCTCCAGATTTCTAGGCACAACCTGGTGAGCATTTCCAGGGTTGCATCTGTTTGTCAAAATATCTCAATTTGTATTCCAACACTTTCTGTGAACTTACTTTTTGCAGAGTACTTCAGAACACCTTTAACTTCCTCTTTTATTATCATTCTTGATCATATGCTACTTCCTGAGATGATTTTGTGCTAGGCAACTATTTTTCATTCTGGGACTCTGTGCATTCGTCCCATCTTCTTTTGATTCTTCCTAAATCATTCTATATGTCGGCCAGAGCAACTTGCAGTATTGCAATTTAAGGCTTGAATTTGTCCATAAGTTCCTTCAGATTGAGAAATGCTAAATAAGTTCTTCCCTTTTGACTTTTCTCTCTAGCTCTTTGCACATTCCATTATAATACTTTGTCTTCCTATTTTTTGAAATTATTTTAAATTATTCAAATTTTTAATTGAACTATTATTGAAACTATTCAAAGTATTATTTGAAATCATATGTTCAACTCTAACTTCATAATTTATTCCTTTTGTTTTGTTTTCGCAGTGTACTGCATGCAATATTCAGAGTAATCTCTTCTTGTGAGGTGTGGCCTTTGTCATGAGATGTGGCTCTTCTGATGAGACACAGATTTTCTCATGAGATGTGGCTCTTCAGGGACCTGAAGATCAGAGCTCTGCTGCAACACACCAAGGACTGTGTGGCATGGCTTGACTGGGAGCATCTTCCAGCCACAACTTCCCCAGTGTTTGCTAAAGCCTGTGGCCCAACTCAGGTGCACTCACACCCTGGCTGGTGACAGAACCACTGCCTGCCGGCTTAAGGAGGTGCAGTTTCAATGCCCAGCTACTATGCCAACAGTCCGGCACCAGGAACACCAATATCACAAGGACTTTGGGGGAACCACTACTGTCTTGCTATAGCACATGAGACCCCTTAAGCTCAACAGGAAGGGGCCAGAACAACTTAAACCAGGTAAAGATGCCATTTCTGGAAGGGAACAACAGACTTTCTGGTTTGCCATTCAGGTACTTTGGGGGAAATACTGCTGTCTAGGTACACCAAGCAAGACCCCTTAAACTCAAGCGGAAGAGGCCAGACAAATGGAGCCAAATAGAGACATTTCTGGAAGGGAAGAACAGGCTTTCAGGTTTGCAATTCAGGTACTTTTAGGAGGGAAACTGCTGTCCCCTTGGCCGTTACACTAAGTGTAGTTATATATATATAACTATATATAGGCCATTACACTAAGTGAACTAACTCAGTCATATAAAGAAAAAATATTTTATAAGACCATTACTATAGAAAGAGAAAAAAGATCCAAGGGAGGGGAGGGTCTTAATCATAGGGTCACACAATTTGATGTGTGGAGGGAGAGGTGGACAAAGGTTCATATGATCTTCTTTTTTTTTTTAATAGGAGATATTAGTCAACCAACAGCCATCAATAGCAAAGTCTATGAGAGGAGTGTGGTATAAGAATCAAAGGGAGCCCACGTCTTGCAAGACCACTCTTTGGGGGACATGACCTTCTCTCTACTGCAAGACGCCAATGACTTTGTGGCACAGCTGGCCCAGGAGGGGCTTCCAGACACCACATCGGCTGCGTCTACAAAACACTGAGGCCCAGACCAGGCACACTCACACCTGGGCAAGTAACAGAACCACTGCTGGCCAGGTTTAGGGGCTGCAGTTTTAGAGTACAATCCTGCCCAGAGCACTAGACCACTTACCGTCACTACCTGAGAACCACACTGCCTCACTGTCTAAAAACAGCCCAGCTGTTGCCCCTGCTATTCAGCACCAGGAGTATCAATATCACAGGTCCTTTGGGGGAAACACTGTTGTGGAGCTACACCATGCAGGACCCCTCAACCAGAAGGCACCGGAAGACCTTGATTCAGGCATAGAAGCCACTTCTGAAGGGAACAACAGGTTTCCTGGTTTGCTATTCAGGTACTCTGCAAGAAAAACTTCTGGCGGGCCCTTGACCCTGCAGGACTTAGTCCAAGAAGAGAGCGCAAATTTATAGGAGCTTCACAAAACATTGTCCTACTCTGGGTAATCCTATAGTTACAACAGCCTTATATCTACTAAGAAAAGATGCGCATAATGTCAAGAAAGCAACAAACACCTCAGTCATCATGAAAATACAAAATAACATTTTTCCTAAAAAAGGAGACCCAATAAATCCACCAGATAAAGAGAATCAGAAGAAATTAGTTGATGTAGAGTTATTTGATCAGCTCCAGAAAAAAGATACAAATATTGGAAGAAACAGTGGGGGGAGGGGGGGAAGCAAATACCTCAGAGACAGTAGTCAAGAAGAAATACACTGATGAGGAGCAACTTGAACATCTACAGAAAAAACCGCAGAAACCTCTGTAATGCAGCTAAAGCAGTTCCCAAGGGGGCAGTTCATAGCAATAGCACACATATATAAAAAAAAAAAAAAAGAAGAAGAAGAATCAATGATCTAACTCAACGCCTTTAGCAAATAGAAAAAGAACAACAATCTAATCCTATGATCTCTAGAAGAAAATAAATTATAAAGATAAGAACCGAAATCAGTGAGACAGAAAACAGACAAACAATTGAAACCATCAATATGACCAAGAGCTGGTATTTCAAAAGGGTCAACAAAATTGAGAAACAATCCACAAATTTAAGAAAAGGAGGTGGCGAAGAGAGAAGACACAGATAACGTCATTAAGAAATGGTAGAGGTGAAGTCACAACAAAATCAGATGAAATTAAATCAATAATATTGGGATATAATAGAAAGTTATTCTCTGATAAATTTGAAAACCTAGATCAAATGGACAAATTCCTTGAAACTCACGCCCTATCCAGATTGACAAGAATGGATACATAACACTTGAACAGACGCATCACAAAAGAAGAAAGTGAAGAGATCATAAAGAATTCCCCATAAAAAATGTCCTGGACCAGATGGCTTTACAACTGAATTCTACCAAACATTCAGAGAGGATCTGTCACCAATTCTATTTAAATCCTTTTTAAAAAATGAAAAAAATAAACACCCCCAGAGTCGTTTTATGAAACAAGAATAACCCTAATAAGAAAACCAGGTAAAGATGCTATCAAGCAAGAAAACAACAGATCAATGTCTCTCATGAATATAGATGCAACAATCCTTGATAAATCCTAGCTAATAGAATCCAAAAGCATATAAAAAAAAATAATTCACCATGACCAAGTGGGATTCATAACAAGTATACAAGGATGGTTCACTATAACAGAAAACAATCAAAATAATTCACCATATTAGCAAAGTAAACAAGAAGAATCTTATATATGATTTTAGCATGATGCAGAAAATACACTTGACAAAATCTATTATCATTTCCTGATAAAGGCACTCAGGAAAATTGGAACAGAAGGGAATTTCCTCAATATAGTGAAAAGTTTATATAACGAATAGGTCTTTCTTAGAGAAGGTGTAACCAAGTTTCCCTTTGGAGGCTAGGATTTTGAAGTCCCATCTCACATACTTTGGCCACGTAGCAGGAGAGAGCAGGCCTTTGAGAATACACCATGCTCATAAAGTGTAGGGACAGAACAGGAAAGTAAGACCCTCAATGAGATGGATCAATTCAGTGATTGGGGTAGTAGAAGTAGATGTGTGGCGACACTGAGGTTGGCACAGGATAGAGCAGGGTTTAGGGATGTTGTACACAGGGTCGCTATGAGTCACAGGCAACTCGACATCACATAAAAACAACATAGTAGTGAATGGTTTTGAGTACGGAATGAGTTTTACTAGTGTGCTGACTTATATGTTGTGCTGCTAATTGCAAGCATGCTATCTTTGTCTAAAGACTTGTTGTTGTTGTATGCCATTGAGTCAGAACTGACCCATAGCTGACCTTCCAATGGGTTTTCAGAGGCAGTTAAGAGCATGGGAGAAAATTGTCTGTCTTTCTCCCACAGAACAGTTGGTGAATTCTTAAGCACATTCCTTCAGGATTGCAGTGTAGCTTTTTACCACTAGACCACCAGAGCTCAAAATTCCTCCTAAAAATATGTCCAAATTACATGAGACAAAGTCTTGCCATAGGGTTCTAACCAGTATTCAGCTTGTAATTTTCCAAGCCAGATTTATTTGTCTTGTGGAAGTCTGTTATATCCAATATTTTCACCATCAGAATACATCTGTTTTCCTTTGGGCTACTTTTATCATTGTCCAACTTCACATACATATGAGGCAATGGGGAATATCACAGCGTGGACCAGGCACACTTCAGTTCTTAAAATTCTATGTTAGCTTTTGAATATGTGAGAAAAATATTTTTGAAAGATTTGAAAAAGTCATTATGTCATTTGATTTCTTGAGTGAGGAACGTTGACTGTAGATTAAACCAAAACACTAAGTTTCGTTTTCCTCTACATTTACCATGATGCTGATAACTGATTCATCTCTGAGGGCCCCCCCTTTCTTCTGAAGTTTAATGCATATACTATATTGTCTTTGACATTTCTCAGTAAGTATTTCAAGTCTTCTTTGTACAAGCAAAATTGTATAGAAGACCTCTTCTGTAACAGATTGTAAATGAGTTTTCTTCTAATCTTGATATTTCTTCTTCATATAGTCCTGCTTCGTGGAATATTTGTGCATCGTACTGCCTGAACAAGTAGAATGAAAGGATGTAACTCTGACATACCTTCTTGATTTTAAACTACACAATATTCCCTTGTGCTTGAAGGAATGTCTCTTGTACTATGTACTAGTTCCATATGAGCATATTTAATTTGTCTTTGAAATTCTCATTCTTCACAATGTTTTGTAGAATGTGTGTGATCCACACAGTCAAATAAAACACTGGTAAACAATTTTTTTGGTAACCTCTACTTTTTGCCTAAAAGCTTCTGATATCATTGATAGTCATTCTCATTTTACAACATCTTTTACAGTCCACTTGAGATTCTGGTCATTCTGTAACTACACTGCTATAATAATTGCTTTAAATGATCTTTCCAAAATTTTACTTGTGTGCTATTTTAATATCATAGCTGAAGAACACAAATATTATTTTGAATGAACACAAACCTTTTTCTTTAAATACAAATTTTTACTGTACATGAGTGAGTATTGAAGCACTGCATCTTTTTGGTAAGCTTCTCATTTCGTATTCTGCCTTTTTTTTTGAGACTTATTTTTCACTACCATGTTCAGTGCAACTACTTTCTTCAATACCATATATTGTTGATCACTTTCTCCCTCCAGTGATGTCTGCATTTTAGAAGAAAAACAAAACAAAGCAAAAAAATAAAAAAGCAACATAAACCCGTTTCCTAAATAGCATGCCTCCAGGAGCTCCATGAATTTTGATAAATGTCAATGGTTGTAGAGAGACTTCAGGCCTTTTGTTCATCAGGTCGCTGTGAGTCATGCTCGACTCAAAGGCAATCAACAACATCAACAATCCTTCAAAGGCAGCTCTGGAGACTTAAAGTCACAACGTTCAAACTGACTGGCCGCTCTGTGACAGCAAGATGGACAATCTCTTACAGCCTCTGGAATCCACGCGAGAGTCAGCTATGCATTTGTCTAACTTTATGGCACATGCCAACATTTAAAAACAGCAACCCTACAACATAAATTTAGAAAATTTGGCATGGACATGTATCCAGTATTAGGCAATAGCTTCTCTTGTGGCAATCGTAAATGTGGTGCATGACATGAAAGTAAACCACTGTGGAAGGCGGTGTGGTGTTTTCTCAAAAAGTTGCAAATAGAGATACCATCTGACCCAGCAATTCCACTACTGGGAATATACCCTAAAGAGACCATAACTACCACCCAAGCAGATATATGCACACCCATGTTTATCACAGCTTTGTTCACAATAGCCAGGAGTTGGAAAAACCTAAATGTCCATCAACAAGTGAATGGATAGAAAAGCTGTGGTATATTCACACAATGGAATACTACGCTGCATTGAAAAACAAGGAGCTCATGTAATATTAAAATGGATGACCCTGGAGGACATTATGCTGAGTGAACTATCTTAGTCACAAAAGGACAAATACTGCATGGTGCCACTGCTGTAAAATGAGACTGACATTGGGATTTAGGGGGGAGACTAAGAAAGAGGGGATAAATAGTATACACTACATTGAAAGAGATGAGGTAGAGAACTGTTTAAAAGGGATATGTGATTAGGTATTACTGTCATGACAGGAGTCGCATTTTAAATAATATTCATTCAAAAACCCAAATGTGGGGTGAGGGGAAGGTGAATGAATATATTACATGTATCACAATAATCTAGAACAAGAGGTTCATTGCAAAGTGGAAGGGAGAACGGGGGGAAATATGAAAATGTGTAATAATGAATGGATTTTACAAAAAAAGGAGAAATAATTCTTTTAAAAGTCCATTCAGATTCCTACCTTTCCTTTTTAAGAAAAAATAAATCAATAATTATTAATATTCTCCCTTTTACTGTGTGGTTTATTGGATTTTAAGATTAGCTATTACTAATTGTGTTTTATCCAAACCCACACCAATCACCCCTCTTCTTCCATTTAGTTCTTCCTCTAGATGTCTCGCACTTCTTGACATAAATACGTCTGACTTTTCCCGTGTTCTTCGTATCACGGGAACTGCATGTGAGCTGTATGCCTGCTTTGTTCAGTGCTGCTTCCAGACTATTCTTGACCTTCCTAGTCGCAGACTATATGGTTGGCCAACCAATCTTCCTTATTTTCATTTTTCATGTTTATCTGCTGATCCTATTTGAAAAGTTTATCTTTGATATCATTATCACAACCTTCAACATAATAATTGAGATTTTTAAAAGTCCATATAGATGATAAAGGAGTCCAGAAGGTCATCAGTTCAAGTTCACCAGACTCTCCATGGGAGAAATCAGCCCGTCTCTTTCCACAAAAATTTACAGTCTCAGAAACCTCCCCAGCAGTGGATGGGTACACATGCCTGACTCAGCATATCCATTCATTCAACAACATAAAGTCTCAAATCTTTAACTTGTTCTTTCCCCAGAAATTTTGCCTACAGTCTGCATTAATACATCATATTTTCACTTCTCTGTGTGTATGTCTCTCTTCCTTGCTCTATATCTTTGTTTCTACAGCCAAGTAGGTTTAAAAGAAATATATAAAAGAAAAAAAAATACATAAAAGCGTACTCCAGTGTTAAAATTTATAGTAAAAATCACATGCCTTACTCCTGGGCCTCCAAAACAAAAAGACTGATAACCAAATTACAAAATGGGCAAAAGACTCGTATAGAATTTTCAGAGAAAGATACTCGAATAGCAAACAGACACAAGAAGAAATGCTCCAAATCACTGGCAATAAGAGAGATGCAAATCAAAACCACAATGAGGTACCATCTCCAGTAAGAGTGGCAAAGTTTAACAGGACAGCAATAAAAGATGTTGGAGAGGATGGGTTGAGAAAGGAACTCTTACACATTGTTGGTGGGATTGTAAAATGGTACAAGCATCCTGGAGGGCAGTTTGGTGCTTCCTCAAAAAGCTGAACATAGAAAGTCCTTATGACCCAGCTATTCCACTTTTGGAATACGCCCTGAGAAAATTAGAATTCAGGCACAAACTGAGATTTTTTTTTCTTTTTTTTTTTTTTTTAAATTTTTGTGTGCGTGTACCGTCAAATCAGATCTGACTGGTACAGGAGGATATTGCGCCTCCTTCTCCGGCAGAGTATCTGGTGGATTCGAACCGTGCGCCTCTGGGATTGCAGTGCAGTTTCTTGCCACTAGGCCACCAGAACTCCCCTAAACTGAGATTTTTACACCAATGTTCATAGCAGCATAATTCACCATCCGCAAGAACATGTAAACAGAGAAGTAACTTTGTAAATTATTACCTAACTTGGGAGGGACTGGAGAACATTATGCTGAGTGAACTAACTCAGTCCCACAAGGATAAATATTGTATAAGACCGTTATTGTAGAATGAGTATAAGGATCCAGGAGGGGTGGGAGAGGCTGGAAGCAGAGGGATGTGGATGTAGAGGGATTGGGGATTAAGTGTACAATTTGATGAATGTAGGGGAGTGAGGGAAATTGAAAAAGTTTGTTTAAATTTGTATAAGAATTTTGTAAATAAACTAATGAAAAGTAAAAAAATAATAATAATGTCTGAAACATAAGAAAAAAGTCACATGCCTTAAGGATACGCTTACTACTCTCCCTAAATAATATTAAAGCAACAAAACAAAAACCTTGCTGGAACTATATTGTTAGCTATGACTCGTGTCAATATTTGAGAGAGATGGTCGCCTGTGTGTATATAATGGTGTGATTATAACGACAGTTTTCAGATTTGTCAGATTAAGGAGGATCAACATGGGAAGACTAAGGACTGACGATTCAAATATTATGGAAATCTGGCTACTAATGAGGGTATTGTAGAAAATCTGCAACTGATAGTCATTGGATAAGGCTCTCTGGCTTTGACTCCGCCGGCTGCTCTTCTGGTTTTGATTTACAGCCTGTAGAATCTGAAGGAGTTTTCTAAATTAACTCCGTAACAGGAAGGTTGGAATGTGTTACATAATATTTAAAGTCCTATCCCCATAAAAGCCACAAGGTGGCAATGTTCGACTTCTACCAGCTAGATTGTTCTAAGAGGCTCTCAGAACGACAGGTCTAAATCTGGCCCTGTGCAAATATATCTGACTAGGAAATTCCTCCAAAACCATCAGTGCATAGTCTACAGGGGGATTGTATACCAATGAAGAAGTTTTTCTTTTGCTTTTCAAGGAGAAGAGCGAACTGGGGGCCGAGGTGGGTGGAGGTGGGTGGAGGTGGGTGGGCGGAGAGAAAAGTGTCGCAATGAATGAATGGAAATCCAAAATCTCTGTAAATGTTCACTGAAATTAATAAAAACAAACAAAAAAAACCTTTAAAACTTGCAACTGTGTTGCAGTTTGGGATTTATTATTATTTTTAAGAAAAGAAGTAATTAAGTTTAAAAATTCAGAAAATGAAAATGTCTTCTATTTTGTAAGGATATTGTTATTGTTTGTTAGCTGTTCTCAAGCTGACGACGATTCATAGCAACCTTATAGACAAGAGACTATGATTTTGCCCAGTCCTGTGTCATTCATTTTCTTGATCTACGGCAGATCGAGAGATTTTATTAAAATAACGTTTATGGTGTTGTTTTTGTGATGTCGAGTTGCTTGTGACTCATAGAGACCTTATGTACAAAAGTCCTAAAACCTGCTCTATCTGTGCCAATCCTATTGTCTCTGACACAACCACCCCCATTACCCCAGTCAATGAATCAGTCCATCTCATTGAGGGTCTTCCTCTCCTGTGGACGTGCCTCCACCTTCCCAAACATGACATCCCTCTCTAAGGACAGGTCCCTCCTTGCAACATGGTCAAAGCATGTCAGACGAAGCTTCAGAATCCTTGCCTCCAAGGAGCAGCCTGGCTTCACCTTCTCCAGGAAAAACTTGTTTGTTTTTCTCCAGCACTACAGCTCAAAGACCATTAATCTAAAGGCATCAAGTCCTTATTCATCGTTCAGCTTTCAGATGCACAGGAAGCACTTGAAAATATCTGACACACATTAGACTTTAAACAAATATCTTTGCCCTTTCGACCTTTGAAGAAATTCTTGCCAGAATGTATTCCCAATGCAACACCACTTTTGATTTTTTTGACTTCTGGTACCATGAGTTTGTATTGTGGATCCAAGTAAAAGGAATTAATTGACAATTCAATCTTTTCTCCATCTATCATAATGCTACCTATTGGTCCAATGGTGAAGATTTTGGGGTGTTTTTGATGAGATGTAATCCATACTAAAGGCTATTATCTTTGATCTTCTAGATCAAGTGTTTGAAGTTTTCTTTTCATTCTGTAAGCAAAGTTCCATTTGTGTGACATAGACTGCTGCAGATTCTTCTTCCAAATCTGATACAATCTTCTTATTCGTATAATCCAACTTCTGGAATGATTTTATCAACATACGTATTGAATAGGTATGGAGAACGGATGCAACACTGGCACACATTTTTCCCAATTTTAAAATATCCAGTGTTCTGTTTCTACAACTTCTTGAGTTATATCTAGGCTTCATATGTGAATAGCTAAGTCTTCTAGAATTCCCATTCTCCTCAATATTATCCATAATTTTTATGAGCCTCAGAACCAAATGCCTTTGCATTCCCAATAAAACACAAGTAAACATCTCATTTTGCTGTTAATTTATAGATCATCTCACCTCTTTGCCTGAACATTCCTCCAGCATCCAAAGCCTCACCCACAGCCAGTACTCAAGCTGGACCCCTTCTGGGACCCAGCCTTGCTGTGACAGCTGGCTGGCTGAGAAGGCCGCTTATTCTCATACCATCTCAGTCGGTAACTCTGCCCCTCTCCTAAACATCTCTCTGGCACCTCCAGCGCCACCTACAGCCAGCACTCAAGCTACACACCCATTTGAGTCCCACCTACTGCAGCACCTGGCTCACCAAGAAGACTGCCAATTCACAGACCATCTGAACAGGTGATTTTGTCTCTTCCGAAAACCCCTCCAGCACCCTAGGCCCCACTTACAACCAGCAATCAATCTGTGCACCTTTTCATACTCCACCCTGCTCAAGCAGCTGGCTGGCGGACAAGGGGGCTCATTTACAAATCATCTTAACAGGTAGCTCTGCCACTTTGCCTGAACACACCTCTAAACACTGCTGACCCCCCTACAGTCAGCACCAGAGCTGCAGACCCTTTTGGACTGATCTTGCTGTAGCTGTTGGCTGCACCAGAAGGCTGATAATTCACAGACCACCTCAGCAGGAGACTCTGCCTCTTTTCCAAGCATCACTCTGGCACCCACAGCCATTACTGAAGCCATACACCCTTAAGAATCAGTCTCACTTCAGCAGCTGGCTTGCTGAGAGGGCTCCTGATTCTCAGAACATCTCAGAAGGTGACTCCGGCTATTCGCTGTAAACTTCTACAGAGCCCCCCAATACAATCTAACGCTAGCACTTGACAGCTTCAAAATCCTTGCCTCCAAGAAGCAGCTTGGTTTCATTCTAAGACAGATCTGTTTGTTCTCTTTGTCCATATTCTATGTTCAAGACACTTCAACACTACAACTCAAAGGCATCAATCTTCTGTCTTCCTTAGTCATTGTCCAGCTCTCTCATGAATAACAAGTAATTGTGAAGATCATGGTCTTAATCAGGTAGAGTGCATGAACTTTGTACACCATCTAAAGACTTCACACGAAAAAAAATTAACAAAAACACATAAGTATAAAACAGTTAACTACCTGGGTAATCACAGTCATACTGTTTACCTCAGGTACCTGGGACCATTGCCATAGATCTTCGACTCTATTGTGAATCGTCAACCATGTAGATGGATAATCAGGAGTAAATGATATTTGTTTAGCATAAAAACCAACCATCATTCTTTATTTGCAGCATGCTGCTGATACACCAAAACATTATAAAGAACATTCATTTAACTGTGTAAGAGAGCCATAGTAGATCCTATTCAGCCCTCTTCTAATTCTCTAAATGGAAGGTTTATTTTTTTTCCACACCACCTTATTGTTTAATACACTTTTCACACTGATTCTCACCAGAAAGGTGTGGAGAGTATTACTCAATGTTTCAAGAGGATCTCAGGGATTTAAATACACATTTAAATCAAAAAGGGACATGAGACACAGTAGTCAGGAAATGAAAAAAAAAATTAAAATGGCTCTTTTTCATTGCTTTAAGCCCTGTGATCTGGTCCTGAGAAAAACCTAGCCAGGAATTTGTCAATGATACAGGAGGTAAAAGCCTCAGTGAAGCACAGAACTACGGCAGATGTTTTTAACAATACCAAGAAGTTACCAAATCCTGCTGATTCTAATCTGTAACTAATTTTCATTCTTCTATTCTTTGAATATTCTTCGTGTTTTGGCAATATCTTCAGCAAATTCACTCACTCTTTTCTCCAGTTGGAAATAATTCATAGCTGACCTTCCAGTGAGTTCTTGGAGGTTGCAAATTGCACTAGAGGAAATTGCTCATACTTTTTCTTGCAGACTAGCAGGGAGATTTGAACCACCAGAGAGGCTTCATCTTTGAGTCAAGAGTGCAACTTGCTAAGGGTTAGTTGACTGAAACTTTAGTAGGTAATTCTTCTAGATTGATCAACCTTACCAGGATGATTAGTCATGCATTCTTTCTCTTGATGACAAAAAATTGGTTAGTGTTACAGTTAGTTCTAATTGTATTTCAAAAATTTTGTACCCTGTTTTGTTATTATTCTGTGTCTTTAAGTAAGAATTGACCCACAGCTGACACTAGCAGTTTCAGAGGCAGTAAATTGCATTGGAGGAGATTGCTCTCTTTCTCCTGCAGAGCAGCTGATGAAGTTAAACTGTGGGACTTAGGGATTGCAGTGTGGTTTCTTATCACTGGGCCACCAAAGACCCCTACTTCTCTAGACTATAAAAGAACAAAACTATACGCACTGCCATCAAGTCAGTTCTGACTCTTGGTAACTCTCTATCAGGTTTCCAAGGTGATAAATCTTTATAGGTGTACACCGTCAATCCTTTTCCCCATCAACATGGTAATCTATGAGTTGATGGCTATGAATCTCTGATCTTTCTACGGCAAACCTCAGGCATTATACTACCAAGGAGCTCTTTTTAAACCATGGTATGGTTACTGTGTCCGTTCGAGTCAGAATCAACTCATAGCTGACTTTCGAACAGGTTTTCATGGGCAATTTAATTGAATGAGAGAAGGTGGTCCATCTTTCTTCCACAGAGATGCTAACTGATTCGAACCATATACCTTTGGAATGGCAGCAGGACTCCTCACTGTTAGTGCTACAAAGATCACTGAAGTGATCCAACCACACAAAAGCAGCAACTGTGGCTCTGTTTCAATTAAGGATGCAGAATTGCTCTACCTTCCATTTCCCAGGAATATCTGAGACCACAGTTTGAGATTGTTCACTGCTTTACTCTTCCATAACATTTTCAGTGACTTTTTGATTCTTCCTTTTCTGGAATTCCAACTGAGGCCCCTTCCACTTGAGCTTAAGGGATCCCACTTGGGGTGTAGCTAGGCAGCAGTGTTTCAGCCAAAGAAAATGTTTATTCCTTTACAGAAATCATGTCTTGGCCCAGATTTACCTGGCCTGGCCCCTTGTGCTTTAGCTTAAGGGGTTCCATGTAGTGTAGCAAAACAGCAATATTTCATCCAAAGTACTTGTGATATTGGTGCTCCTGGCATTGAACAGCAGGAGTGAAGCAGCTGGGTGATTCCAGGTTGCCAGGCAGCAGGATAACCAGGTGATAGAGCCAGTGGTCTAATGCTCTGGGCAATTGCAGTCTAAAACTGCAACCCCTCAACTTGACAGGCAGTGGTTCTGTTGCTAGCCAGGGTGTGAGTGCACCTGGGCATGCTACAACATTTAGCAAATACAGGGGAAGCAGAGGCTGAAAGACACTTCCAGACTGGCCATGCTACACAGGACTTGGCTTCTTGCAGCAGAGCAAAGTTAAGGTCCCCCAGTGAGCTGGTCTAGTGAGAGATGTAGGACGCTAATCAATGTTCTTTTCAATTATTTTTCAGAAAGTTCCATCAGAATTTCTGGTTTCAGGTAATCCATTAATTCAGTGTATTGATCACTTTTTTGTGGGTGTCATATCTTGCTTTGTTTTTGTGTAGAGTCTGAGGGAATCTGTTTCTTCTGTGTCATTGCTGTGGTAGAGTTTTTCTTCCCTTGGCCCCTAGCATGTCCTGGATCTGATGATCTTCGCTGAGTAGCTCACTATTCCTGAGGAGGAAAGGTTAACTCTTTATACCTGGATATCTTTCTGGACTTACAGGAAGACTTGCTCCAGTTGAGGAGCTCAATACTCCTGTGGGTAAGGGGAGAGTAATTCACCCTGCGGACAGAGCGTGGGGTGGAACTCTCCAATTAAAACAAACTTGGAAGGAGGAGTGGCATCCACTTCCATAATAACTTGCCTCCAGAAACCCTATGAACCTGGAGAGAGGATGGAAAGGATGAAATGCACCCAAGCATCGAGGACTCTTCAAAGGGTCACTATGAGTTGCCTGTGACTCAATGGCACTTAACAACAACAACAACAGTGTCTTATTTGGCTCTGTGGCAAAATGTACTGGAGCTAGAGAATCTACTGTGAAGAGAATTTGCTCTGCTTCTGGTCCCCCAGTAGATGGGAAATTTTGCTGTGGTTGGGGAGCCCACCAGAAAGGAACTGGAGAACTCACCTGTTTCTGTTCCTTCCTTTATGATGCCACAGCTAAGTTCTCTGTGGCTGTAGAGTCTACCATAAAGGAAACTAGCTCTGTCTCTGTCCTGGGGCTGCTGAGAAGACTGCTCTGGCTCAGGAGCATACTCAAAATGGAACTCAAGAAGAACTCTTCTTTACTTTTTGGTCCTGTAGCTGGAAAGTTCTCTGTGGCTATGGAGTCCCCTGGGAAGAGGACTTGTTCTGCTTCTGCGCTGGGGTTGCTGGAAGTTTCACCCCAAGGCAGCTGACCTCAGGGAGATCTCACACTGCTTCTTTTCTTTCCTCTCTGGTTCCACAACAGCAAAGTTCTCTCCATCCTTATCTTTATGGAGTACTCTTCTTACATTTCTTCCAAGATATATTTGTCATGCTTTTGGCAGTTTCTAAAATGTCAATATTCTTTCTCAACACCACAATTGAAAGGCATTATATCGTCAGTCTTCCTCATTGTCCAGCTTTCAGTGCACATGGAACAATTTAAAAAATGTGGTTTGAGTCAACTTTTTAGCATTAAAAAAAAATCCTTGACAGCATATTTGTCCAATGAAGTATACCTCTTCCTTGACTGCTGGTACCTGAATGTTGACTATGGATTCATGTAAAATGAAATTGTTGGCAATTTTAATATTTTCTCCACATATCATTATTTCGATTATTGGTTTGTTGGAGAAGATTTTTGTTTTCTTGACGCTGAGATATAATCCATATTGAATGCTATAGTCCTTGATCTTCTTCAGTGCCTTTTCACTTTTTTAAAGGAAAGTTGTATTTTCTGCATAATATAGGCTATTTATGTTAAATTTCTTGCATTCCTAAGAATAAATGGATTTAGAAATAGTAGTAGTTACCTGAAGTCCCTGACAGTTCAAATACTCAATCTCCTTTGATTGTTATCAAAGAGGGTAGGAGGTGTCTCAAAAAATGTCTGTCATTCTGTTTTTAAATAACTTAATTCAGTCTCATAAAGACACATAGTGCATGAGAATATTATTGTAAAAATAGAAGGATAATAAGTAAAACATAAAGGGGGACCCCACGGGTGGAGGTGTGGGAGCAGTAGGGTAAGGTTATGTAAGGATGA